GAGTGCAGCTCTTCTTGGTTCAATATTGTTCACCTCACACTGGTGGAACGTGCTGTCCACCTGCAGAACTCTCATATTTCCTGGTTGCTCCTAAAAAGGAGCCTGCCAAGTACTGACCATCCTTTTCAGTCTGATAGAAACCTGGTGTTACCCTGAGGAGCAGGACTTGTTTCATGTTCCCTTTAGATTTACCCAACCCAAACTTACAGCCCCTTGTTCTGCTTTTGGCTCTGCTGGGTTCTCTTAATGCAATGGCAAGAAAACCAGCTGGCCTTGAGGGTTCTCACACCGACAGCTCCAGTGCAGTCTCGGGGATCCCCACCACCACTCGTGCTTTGCTCACACCTGGGTGCAGGTACACTGTGTTAGGCAGCAGGTTGCAGCATGCTTTGGGCTTCCTTGGGTCAGGTTGTCTATGGGGAGTGGAAAAAAATGTTACTCTGACAAATAGCTCCATTAGATTTTAGAGAAGAAGTGTCCGTGGTGGCAACGAAGAGGTTTAAAATCGAGCAGGATTGCTGATGGAGCTGCGTTTTATGCAGTGGACACTGAACAACGGGGACATCGGGAGGAAAGCAGAGAATGTGGCAGCGCGTGGGGCTGTGTGATTTCTGTGCATGTGCCATTAAAATGCAGTAAGAGGGGTTTCAAACTTTACATTTGTTTAGGTATTTTGAGCTGTCGTTATGGTAACTATAAACATTCTAGCAAGTGTGGTAGTTGGGTCAGTGAATCTGTGGCTGCATCTGACACACTTTGCAAAATTAATGAATAACTCCTTCATGAATGATTTATCCTGACATCTAAAGGTTAAAGTGTCTCGTACTAAAGATGCTGAGGGGTGCTTTTCTATATTGATCCATAAATAATTAGCTGTTTGTAATTAGTTAAAGATTCCCAGTCAGATAGATACTGAGCTCAGGGAAATCTTCTGGCTTCAAATTATTTGTTGTGGTATTTCAGAGGCCTCAGATCTGCCCAGGCATTTTAACTTCATTGGAAAAACTGTGTAAACATCTACTAGCTCAGCTGGTCCATCTTTCATTAAAGGTATGTGAGAGAGAGAGTGAGCAGATTGCTGGAGAAATGTTGATGAGAGGAGGGGTGTCCTTTCTCCCACAAAGCTGCTCAATTCATGACTCCTGCAGCTGCAACAGGGGTTTAGCAGCTGCCCAACTCCCTTAACATCTTGTTCTCCTTTACTTTTCTCTTTTAAATACACTTCTGTCTTGGTCTGTACAGAAATCACTCATCTCTCCACAGCCAACCAGGAGACTAAAAGGGAGGAGGGATGCGGAGTTTACGCTCACAGTCTTGGAGCATTCTACAAATGTTGAAGGATTTTCCGAGTTAAACAGGCACCACAATCTTTTCCTAAAAGAAACTGATGCAAAAGAGGGGCGTGAATGTTTGGGGGGGGGGGGGAGACAATCGGGGAAAGAGCATCATGGGACACTGTGGACATGGCCTTTGGGGGGTAAAGGGTGAATAATGTCAGTATGAGGTTTTTGTAATTGCAAGTGGCAGTCAGGAGCATAAACACCAGAATGTTGAGCCAGCCTAGGGTGAAACACGATTTGTTTGTGGAACGTGGCCAGGTTCATGCTGCACAGTGTGACCATAGAGAAATACTAGTCCTGGCAGAGGAAAAGTAGTCCAAAAAACCAGCTGGAAAAGTGTGATGCACAAGAGATTGCAACATGAGTCCGAGGGAGGAGAGGGGCCGTATAAGGTAGATGTCAGAGGGGTTCTGGAGAGGTGGCTGAAGCGCGAGCAGCTCACTGGGATGTGCAAGTGAAACATTTCTCAGAATTTTCATATAATTTTTTCCTCCTCTTTTTTTGTCATCAGTCTGTGCAGCTGTAAGGAATTCATACAGGCTGCCTCTGTGTGTAGGAAGCAGACAAAAATCCTCAGAAACAGAGGATGTACTTGGAGCTGCACTTGCTCACAGGAAAATCTGGCCGTACCCCATAGTGCTGTGGCCTCTCAGCAGCCTTAAAGTGGTCACTTTCCTTGAGAGAGATAATTTGGTTTTCTTTAAGACTTTTTAATATAAGTCTCTCCCTTCTAGTATCTATTTTTCATATCAATAAAGTTGTCTGATTAAGCCCCAGCAAAATGGTGTCAATTGTTCTTAAACCTGGAAGGCTTAACTGTACTGCAGTGCACGAAAGGAGAAGGTACGTTGGCAGAAAATACAGTTTATGTAGGTGAGCTGCATTTAGCCTGGTCTTGGAGGCTGACAGACAACCTTCCTTCTCATTGCAACTTGCTTAACGCTTTCTGTGTAAGCAGTTCTGCGGGGCAGTAATTGCTGACTTGGGCCATTGAGGAAGAAGAAAGGAGGAGATGGAGAAAAATAATTAATTGGCCCGAAAAATACTTAATTTTGAACTTTCTCAGAAGTTCAGTTACCCCAGTGGTACCATCTTCTGTGGTGGAGCTTTACAGTTTTGTTGTTGTACAAATTATGGTTGGTTGGTTTGTTTTGCTTTTCCTAAACCTAGGTGTGCCCGTCCGTTTGGACCCCAGAACCTGCAGCAGTTGAAGACTTTACTAGTTGCAAGGGCTTAAAGTGGCCCCACTGAGTTACAGGTTCAGGATACAGTAACAGACACCAGACCAACAGCTTTAGAGATCAATAATTTATCTCTAAATAACAGTACAGTGACAAATATGGATCAGCAGTTCAGTGATCCAGGTCAGATCAACAACAGATCCAGTAATTCACCCATTCTGGGCTGAACTGAAGAGCCCGGCACAGAAAAGCTTACGGTTCTCGTTGGTGTGCGTGAGGCCTGGAAATACGTGTAGGGCAACACCAGCCTCACACCTCTCCTGCGTGCACAGGGCGTGACAACACCATACAAGCAGTAACAGCCCCTCACCAGTGAATGTTCTTGGTCACTGAACAATGTGTGTTTGTGTGTCTGTGTTGTCTGTGTAGAAAAGCAGTGACATTGAGGATTTGTAGGCTCTGTAGCCTCTCCCACGTTTGTTTGATGATGATGATGCTCTCGTACATGATACGAAGGAAACAATCCTTAGTGTATTAACTGTAGTCTTTTTGTACTTGTGTTTTAGCTGGAAGAGGAGAGATCAGTACTCAATAACCAGTTATTAGAGATGAAAAAGAGGTAAGTTGGTTTTTCTGATGTGCGTTTAACTTTACAGTCCGACAGAAAACACAACACAGAAACAGCGCTAAGAGAGAGCTGTTCTTTTCTGCTGTATCACAGTTAGAAGTCTTGAGATTGTTACCCAGACCGACTGACAGATTATGTATCTTCCCCATTCTCATTATTAAAAGTGAGGAGGAAGTGTCATTTTATTAACGTCCGAGTGTGTTAAGCAGTGGGATTTACCGTTTCCTCTTTAGTTGTACACCTCTGGCGTTGTAGTTCCCTTCATTTTCAGTAACCAGTTCAGTGTTTGGCTCTAGCCTGCTCTGGAATATTGGATTGTCCATCAGTCTGATAAATACACGTCCATACAGATCTGACCCATCAGGTTCTGAAGGAATAATGGAAAAATACAGTGATGCCAAGAGTTATTATTAAAAAGAAAATGAAAGCAGCAGTTACTCAGCCTTGAATGGATTGTTCCCATAGTTTTGGGATCCTGAGTTCACCGTGGCAGTAGTTATTGCAGTTTATTCAGCACTGTTTTTAAATACCAGGAAATTTGTCCTGGGTGACCGTGGCATCCATTTGTAAACCGTGCTGTTCAGTAAATGGTCCCCAGTTATAAAATTTACTGTCTTTCCACGATACGTGTGTGGAAAGCTAATTGGCCAAGTGCCACAGTGTCTTTAGGAAAACGTGGGCTTTCCAAAAGCAGTTATATAAACCTTTAGAAAAAAAGATGCAGCTCTCCATGACACCAAGTGTGTTCCAGGAAAAACAACCAAACCCCTGTGAAATTTCCTGCATTAATCATGGTCACAACAAAGAACAGCGAGTGGCACTTTGGTATTCACGCACATCCTTAGCTGCTCCGTATGGATCCCTCTGTTTAGTCCCTAATAACCCGTTGTTTTTTGGAAGGGCAGCAGGCACGTCGGGTGTTACACAAGCTACAGCTTCGCAGAGAACGCAAGAGTTTGATCAGTTGTTGTGCAGAGAGGCAAGTGAGCGGCTGAACTTCCAGCTTTAACCAGCCTTACAGGCTGGAGATCACTTGGCCTTCAGCTGCGTAGAATAGCACAAGTGTAACTTATTTTAAGATGAGGTGAAGGAGAAGAAAAGGAGAGAAATCTGTAGCTGGTGTAAAGACCCTTTGACATCCACACGAATTCTGATGTTTATACCAACTGAGGATCACCTCCAGCATATTTGATGTGGAGGACGGGAGGGAAAAAGAGGATATTAGTGCTGCTGACGGCTTAGAATGGTGTTTACAACCTGTTACTGAACATGTTTATATGTGTTTTAAATAAGGTAACTCCTGAAAGTTCCTTGAGGAAAGGAAGGGGGGAATGGAGACCCAAGATGGATTCAGTCATTTCCAGCAGTTCTGTTTCATAGTGTACATTTTAAAAGACAAATTCTGTAGTAAGTTATAAAAGGCAAGGGGTGTGGCTCTGATTTTCCTCCTCCTGTTTTTACTCTGTGAGCTGCCTGAAGTAACCTAGATAATTATGAAATCATTAAACTGAGTTTGAACATTGCTTCACCTTCAGTCGGTTACACTGAGATGCCCAAGTTTGGCTTAGTCATTAAACTGAGTTTGAACATTGCTTCACCTGGTTACACTGAGATGCCCAAGTTTGGCTTAATGACATTTCTCAACAGTGTTGAATAAACTGCAGTAGAAAGGGTAAAACAAGTGGCAGGAACAGTCAGCTTCCCCCAAGCAGCCTGCAGGCCACTAGAGGTTAAAATACGCCGGCGTGTGACATTATCTGCAACAAAATGTTAGGCTGAATGAAGAGCTAATTAAATAAAAAAGTGTGTGTCTCAGTTCCCAAATTCCACTGAAGTTGGTGATGAGATGAGCGACAATTTCTTCCTTTTGTGTTAAGAATGTGAGGTGCTGAAAAAGAGACATCATCTTGTGTCAGTGAGGTCAAATCTCTAGCAGTAGTTTTCCTGCCTTCCTTCCACCCCCAGGAATTCTCTTCCTCCTTTTAACGACTCCCCCTATGAAACAGTCTGGCCAGGAGTGACAGGAGTTTGGTGTTTATGGATCTAAGGGGGTTCTGTGTTACCTCAGCTCGTTAGGTTCATTGTGGGTTGCTGACTGTCTTACTGTCTTTGAGCTTGCGCTATTTATCGATACTCATTTCATTCCTCTCTCTTCCCTTTCCTGCCCTTGCTTCCTTTGCTATATCTGTGTGTCTTTAATGGTAAGACTCAAGAAAGTCTATCCACGTTACAATAAATAATTTATTTTTATTTTTTTTAAGTAAAGTTGTTGTACATATTTTGGCTGCCGTTGTCCCTTGGTGTCTTGCTTTTGTTTTGTAAAATATTCAGCAATATATATTATAAATATATATA